TGAAGTATGAACAATAAACATTTTAGAGAAAAACATACTGGGACATCTTTATGATACTGGAATACATACAAATTTTTAAATGGCATACAAACAATGATTATATAAGATTCAGAAAATTAACCGAACTATTTTTAAAAATTATGTTCACCAAAATGAATGCCATGAAAACAGAACTCTCACAGTGGGAGAGAATGTTTTTATCAGACCTACATGATCAGACCTATATAGCTAACAGACGACTCATGTGCAAACTATAAAAATAACTTACAAGTCAACACATAATTGGCACGAAATACAATACAAAGATGACAAAAGACATGCATGAGCACTTTTCAAAGGAAAACATCAAAACAGCTATTGAACATATGCAAAGATTCTCAATTTCATTTAACATTAGGAAAATGCAAATGAAACCACAATGATACCCACACACATCATCCAGAATGGCAACAAGTAATGAAAAACATTAAGTCCTGACAAGGATATTGACCAATCATAACTAACAACCACTCTGGAAATCCATTTGGCAGTATTTACTAAGGCTGAATATGCATGTAATATGACAGTGATTTCCATGTAAAGAATATATCCAAATAGAAATACATTCAAGATTAAGCCAGTATAGACTGAGTATTCAGGTGGATACAAGAGGGTGTAGCAGTTTTTACGATTATCTTAAAAATTTATATATCTATATCTATGTATCTATATATATGCATCTCTCTATACATATATGCATTTTTAAGTAAACTATAAGTGATTATCCTTAATAAATACATAAAAAATCTGATCTTTATTATTTTATAAAAACCCAGAGATATAAAAATGTTTATGTTCAAAACTAGAATGGAATAGAATGTTAACAATATCACTAATCATAAAAACTCCAATAAACCAATTCTAATATTCAATAGTAGAATGATGCATAGCTAATTTGTGATATATTTATAAAATGGAATTGTACACAAAAATGACAATGAGCAATCTAAAAAATCTCTATAACAATATATTGAGTGAAAAAGCTCAGACACAGAAAATTGATAACATGTATAGGATTTCTTTAACATAAAGTAACAAAAATAAGTGAAAATAAACTATGCTGGTTATAGTCAGAATAATAGTTGTGTGTGTATATAAGGAGATAGTTCATGGTAGAAAAAAAAAAACAAAGGACTCTTCTGGAGTCTTGATAATCTTTTATTTATTTTAATGGTTGTTATTTCTGTTTAATCTGGATTCTGACTACACAGAAGTGTTACTTTTGTAAAACTTTTTTTTATCATAAATGCATTTGTTAATATATATATATATATATATATGTATATATATATATATATATATATATTATACCTAAATAGTAAGTTTAAAACACCACACATAAGGAGGAAATAGACATAGATATATATTATTTTTCCTTGTGAATTTTTAAAACAATGCAAAAGCATTGTTCAGACATTTTTCCATTACATCCTCAGTGAAGTCATAAAAAGCCTCTATATTAAAAAGAGAAGATGAAGAGTTTCAAGAAAAACTAAAAAACTTGTGCTACAGGTACAATGTTTTGATTCCTGGTCTCTGGGTTGCACTAGAAAAGTTGTAACTAACAGAAACTATGGAAAAGCATCTAACATAACTTAATTTGTATGGGGATATCTGTATAATTATCAGATATGTCACTGGATTTGTTAGAAGCTTTCAAATGCTTTAGGCATCATTAACAAATTGTATCCCTTGTCCTTAGAGAGGTTCCCAATGGAGGAAAGAATCCCATAAATTCTCCTTATTGGGTTCTGTTAGGAGCACATGGGGAGCCAGAGCGATTCCTCTTACAGGTGAGTAGACTGTACCTGTTTCTGTGACTAACTCCCAGAGTTCCAGGGACCCTTCATGGCGCCATCTCCTATTTAAAGTTCAGTGTCCAACACCCCATCTTGGTAATTAAGCCACAGCTTTAACAATCTGCTTTGATAACTGCAGTCTCTGGGCTGGTACAAGGTTG